GGCCTTATGAAGAAGAGGTCCTGTAGTGCCCTGCAGTGCAGCATCACCTATTCACCAGAACCTGGTGCTTCAGAGGCATCTTCTGTGTGTAATGTGTGCGTGCACCCTGCTGTTCTGGCTGAGTTGCTTTTGCCTTCAATCCAGTCTTCTGTAATGGCAGATGGGCATTTGCCTGTTGTGGGCAGGGTTTGGTCCCTGTGTGGTTAATACACCAGTCTGAGGCCACCTGGGGCTTGGTTGAATCAAACCAAGCATTTGCACTTGTTTATTGGGCTGTCTTTTTAAGAGCACCCTCTCAGCTCTACCAAAGCCAAGCCTACTAATGTTTAAATTCCAGGTTTTAAGTCCACTGATTGTAAGAACTGAGGAAATGTGGCCTCTCTGGTTTTCAAAGCCAAATGTTACAGGGATTTGTCCTCCCCGTGTGGGCTCCCTAATGTGATAGTCTGTTTCTCTCCCCTCTCTGTGCCCATGAATCCCTCCTTCCCAAGGACAGTCCCCCAGGGCAATTAGTTCCTACTTCTTTCCCCTTCCTACTCTCTTTGATGTGGCCTCTTCTCTACATCTAGTTGTGGAGTTTGTTCTGCCAGGCTTTCAGTCATTTTCTGGGTTATTTACACTGATGTGAGTGTTATCTAGTTGTATCTGTGAGATGAGGCGAGCCATATTCCCAGCAGTCCTCTAAAATACATTCTAGGAAGAAGCATATCTTCTTCTAAGCACATTCCTTTAGCTGCCTCTTATACATTTTAGGATGTTGTACTTTCAGTATTATTCAGTTCAGAATATTTTGTAATTTTTCTTGTGACTTCCTCTTTGGCCAATGGATTATTTACAAGTGTGTTGTTTAATTTCCAGATGTTTGGAAAATTTTCTATTCTCTTATAGTCATTGATTTCTGGTTGAATTCCTTGATGGTCAAAGAACATACATTTTTATGATTTCAGGTTTTTTTTAGATAGGAAACTTTTTTTTTCCCTAGAAACATCTTGCTTATTTATTACCTAACTAATACCACAAGAACCAGTAATTTGAGTTGACATATTGTAAAGTACAGATCAGGCCCCAGAGCTCAATCATATGCACTGTTAAACCTTGCTAATTATACATTTATGTAATAAGGTCATTCATGCAAGATGTATTCTTTAGAATGTATTCTGTTGGAGCTCTGGAGAAGTGTATTATGGAAACACCTGTTAGGAGCCATAAAATTGCTTAAGAATACCTGGCATTCACTTAGCTTCTTCCATTTTGGTATTGTTAGTGCATTACACATAAATCAAAATAGGTCTACTTCATTTTAGTATAAATCCCCCTCTCCATTCCACCACATAGAGTTTTTGTTTGCAATCCTGCAGCATAGCTATAGACTAATTTTATAGTATTTAGCAATTCAAAGATATTAAGAAATATCAATTTGTTTGATAAGTTTGAAAGGTGAAGTATTCTTTTTATTATATCCCACAGTATCTTTCTCCTTTGAAATTTCCAAATGGTGCTCCTCTGATTAGAACATAGTATTTCTGGGAGGCTGATTTCAGGTTTTTTTTTTTGAAGTTTTTATTTAAATTCCAGTTAGTTAACATACAGTGTAGTATTAGTTTCAGGTGTACAACGTAGTGATTCAACACTTTCATGCGACACCCAGTGCTCATCACAGCAAGTGCATTCCTAAATCCTCATCACCTATTTTACTCATTCCCCTCCTTCCTCCCCTCCAGTAATCATCAGTGTGTTTCTTGGTTTGTCTCCCTTTCTCTTTTCCCCTCTTTGTCATTTGTTTTGTTTTATAAATTCCACATAAAAAATTAAATTTTAAATTTTAAAAATTCCACATATGAGTGAAATTATATGGTATTTGTCTTTTTTGACTGACTTATTTCACTTAGCCTAATACTCCCTAGCTCCATTCATGTTGTTGCAAATGGAAAGATTTCATTTACAATAGAAAGAATAAAAAGGATATGATCATCTCAATAGACACATAAAAAGCATATGACAAAGTACAACATCCATTCATGTTAAAAACTCTCAACATAGTAGAATTAGAGAGAACATATCTCACCATAAAATAGGCCATATATGAAAACCCACAGCTAAAATACTCAATGGTGAAAAACTGAGAGCTTTTTCCCTAAGGGCAGGAACAAGACAAGGATATCCACTCTCACTACATTTATTCAACATAGTATTGGAAGTCCTAGCTATAGCAATCAGAAAGGAAAAAATAATAATAAAAGGGATCCAAATTGGTAAGAAAGAAGTAAAGCTTTTACTATTTGCAGATGACATGATATTATAAATAGAAAACTCTAAAGATCCTACCAACAAACCCCTACTAGAATGAATGAATGAATGAATGAATGAATTCAGTAAAGTACAGGATGCAAAATTAATATGCAGAAATCTGTTGCATTTTTATAGACTAATAATGAAGTAGGAGAAAGAGAAATTAAGAAAACAATCTCATTTACAATTGCAGAAAAAATAATAAAATACCTAGGAATCAACTTAATCAAGGAAGTAAAAACTATAAAACATTGATGAAAGAAAGTAATTTCATTTCTTGATGTCATTAAACATTCCAACACTACAACTGATTGGTTTATCTCTTAATTCTCTTGATCTATAGATTGCCTTTCCATCAGTTTTTTTCCTTGAAATGTATTTGTTGATGAAATTTAGTTATTCTCTAAATTTTCCACATTCTGGATTGTGCTGATTATATACTTTTGGGGCTACTCAACAAATTCCTCTGTCCAAATCTTTTCTATAAGTTGCTAGATCTAGAATCTGTTAGATTTTAATTCTAATTATTAGACCTAGATCATGAATCCAATCAATTTTTGGCAAGATTACTTCACAAGCAGCCATATCTTCTTCCACCAAGAGACACACGATGTCTGGTTGTCTCCTTGTGGTGTTCAGAGCTCTTGATGATCACTGCTTAGATTCATTAATGCATTAGTAGCTGAAAACTAATGATATTCTTTTTTAAAAAGACCTTGTTATTGCGATATGACTTGCTAAACTAAAGTATACAAATCTTAGGTGTAGGGGATCCCTGGGTGGCGCAGCGGTTTGGCGCCTGCCTTTGGCTCAGGGCGCGATCCTGGAGACGCCGGATCGAATCCCACGTCGGGCTCCTGGTGCATGGAGCCTGCTTCTCCCTCTGCCTGTGTCTCTGCCTCTCTCTCTGTGTGTGCCTATCATAAATTAAATAAAATAAAAATTATAAAAAAAACAAATCTTAGGTGTATACTTAGACACATTTTTACATATGTGTACATCTATATAAATACCATTAGATCAGGATATACAACATTTTCAATACTCCAAAAGTTCCTCTTTCACTGAATAACCACTGATAACCAGTATTCTGACTTCTATCACCATGGATTAGTTTAGCTTGTTCTTAAACTTCACATACATGAAATTTTATAGTATGTACTTTTCTGTGTCTGTATTATTTCACTTCAATATTTTATCTGTGAGATTCACCCATGTAGTTACATGAAGCATCAGATCATTTTTATTGCTATTTAGTATTCCATTGAATGAATATACCTCTACTTATTTTTGCAAAATTGTGACATTGTAATTCTGTCATTCCTTATTCATTTTTACCTGGAATTCTTCTATAAAGAGAAGTTTCCTTTATAAGCTATTTGGTCACTTTGAAGTATAATTCACATAAGGACAAACTAAATGCTGGATCATCTCCTTTTATCATTTGTCAAAGTAATGAAGTATTTCACAGGATTCTTCAAAGATGACTAGTGAGGGGGAGTGCCTGGGTGGCTCAGTCAGTTAAGTGTCTGCCTTTGGCTCAGGTCATGATCCCAGGGTCCTGGGATTGAGCCCCACATCAGGCTTCTCCCTCTCCCTCTGCTGCTCCCCCTGCCTGTGCTTTCTCTCTCTCTCACTGTCAAATAAATAAATAAAATCTGGGGGAAAAAAGATAACTAGAGAGGATTATTTCTCTAGTATCATTTGAATTTAACATAAGTTTTGAAATGCTTTATAGGTTTTTTTTCAATTACAACTATTATTCTTATTGATGCTTAAATTGTCTCATCTTTGGTCAATGGGAGCCTCTTCAGGTTGGCTCCTGAATCCCTCTAACATGACTCCCATAGTCTCCCATAGCTTCCTTGCTCTCCAGTACAATACTGTATATATTTCTTGTCTTAGTCCTGAACAAACTGTCCAAGGAGCAATGATTTCTCTTAGTGAAAAATGGTCTTTAGAGACCATAGTCTTGGCACTGGGAGATATCATTAGAGTCTGGCTGCAAGGAAGACTTGCAGACCTCCCACTAGAAAACCTCATATCTTCAGGAAGAATGTGTTTTCTTATCGATGCAGCATTAGTATCCTTTTCCATGGGTTGTAGATTTTTTTATCTGCTGCTCTTCTTTGTTTCCAATTACAAATTGCTGTTTAGTCCCATCATTGTCAGATTGATCACTGTAGATTGATATATAGCAATGCATCTTTGGATCAGTGGTATTTAGGGCCCATAATTTACCAATGTTGAGACCCTTACACATTGCATTTCAAATAGGAATTATCCATAATTATATTTCTCAAGCATATTTGTATATAATTGAGCCAGGAATCTGTGAATACAGTGATTCTTTTTTGTTATCACCAGGTTCTCTTTCTATTGAAGCATGGGAAAACATTAGTAGGGGAACACTGAGGTGGGTTGACCCTTTGAAATGAATTATAGTCAATATAATTTGAGAGCCACTGCTTTAATTTGAAAGAAGGAGGTACTAATTGAGGATGTTTCTAGCACCTAGATAAGGCAAAATTGGGGGCTGGGGGAATGAAGGCTTCTGATGTCAGAGCCATATATAACCTGTTTGCAGACAAAAGAAGTCCTATCCTCAGAAGTCTTGTCTTGATCCTTTGCAGAAGTCAGGTTTGGGTTACATGTCTATCCTCTGGAATACTGCTGAGCAGACCCCTTACCTCATTCTGTTCTTCCTTTAGCTTCTGGACACATGGCTGAATTCCCAGAAGGACAATGAGAGGGAACGGGCCATGTGGTGTACTGCCCGTATTCTTGGCTTCACTGCAAAAATGAACAACTTTGGAGTGAGTAGGAGCCTGCCCTGGAGCCTGGGCCCTCATCCCTACCCTTACCCCAAACTTCACATATTACCTAGCCTCAATTACTCATCCTTCTCCTCTATTTCCTCAGCTCCATCCTCTATTTTTCTCTTGTGCATCCCATATTCTCTCTTTTCTCCCTTGGTCTTTTTCCCTACTCACCAATTCAATTCCATTTCGCTTGGTTCAGTTGGATTCCATCCATCTCATCAAGCAGTTACTGAACACTCACTTTGTGTCAGGCACCATGGTAGGTGTTACAGTGGATATATGACCAAGGCAATTTCCTGTCTTCATGGATCTTTACAGTCCACTGGGGAGAGAGGCATGCATAGAACAAACATAAGTAGAAGGTGATAATGAATGTACAAGCCAAATGTAGTAGGAATAAAAGATCAAAACAGAAATGAAGTACTAGTAGAGAGAAAGCTTCATAGAGGAGGGGACATTTGAGCTAGGCTTGAAGAATGAGTGCAGTGTCGAGAGGTAAACAAGAGGGACAGTGTAAAGTCATTCCAAAACTATGATCCCACAAGTTTTTAATAGCTACAACTCACCTGTCTAATTCCATTCCCATTAACCTCACCTAGTCTCACCTCTCATATCTATCATGCATCCCCTCCTCCTCTCTTCTTGTTTTAACTCAGCCTAAGGGAGCGGCTGGGATAACTTGTGACTTCCAGCTGTCCTCCCCAGATGGATATCGAGTTCAGTCGGTTGGGACGTTTAGTAAGGCTGTTGGCTCTACGCTGCCAGGACCCAGTGGACAACATTTGCTTCCTGTCTGCGCAGGCTGTCTACAGCCTCTACTGTATCCTCCTGCTGCAAAAACGTAGGGAGAATCTCTTCTTTTCACTTCTGCTCCAGCTTCCTGCCTAGGTTTGGTCATTCCCTCATATGCTGTCCTGGAAGAGTGAGAGCTAAGAAGTTATCTAAGTACCTAACTTCCAATGAGGAACCTGCCCCTAGACCTCTGTGTATATTCCTGGGACAAAACAGCTACTCTGAAAACAGTTCTTTTGAATTAGTTTCTCCTCCTCTGGCTGAGCCCTATAGTCTGATCTCACTCTGTCTCTGCTCTAAGGCAGGCAATGTGGGGGTTCCTTTGGCATTAGCTCTCACCATTCCTTATCTTACACCCCATTTTTCTACTCGCTTCCCCACGGGATATACATCTCCCCAAGCTGACTTAGTTCAGTGGGTGGTTTGGGTTGGGCATATGGGAAAGTGGGCAACCTAAGACCTCTTCTGAGTGTCTGAGGGGTGGCGTCGGATGTTTTTGTTTCAGAGATGGGAAGGAAAAAACAGGGCTTATGGGAAGAAGAAGGCAAGAATGAAGTCTATAGTGCCAACGTGTTCTATAACAACACCTTTGAGATTGCCAAGGTGAGAAGGCAGGGCCAGAGACAAAGTGGGAAGAGACTAGGCCTTTCACCCATGTCATATTATAGAATCCTAGGGTGGGATTCCTTTATCCTGTCTTCTTTCCCATTCCATAGCTGCATGTGAATATTTTCTTTGGGGAATTTTTTCCACATGCTACTGCATACTTCTCCTTAAGCATCATGGGTCCTGATTCTGCTTTCTTACCTGTCCCCCCAGAAGCATTTGCTTCATGCTAATGATGCTTTGTGAGCAATGTGTAGATTCAGCCCATGCTTCAAAGATATGTTACTAAGGATCTTGGTCTCAGCCCTTCTGTCCCAGCACTCTGCCTCTGCAGCCTCTGACCTGCGAGCCCCTCAGTGCATCTGAGGTCAGTATCTTCTCCCTCCCAACCCCAAAGATTCTGTTCCCAGTGAAAGGGTCCTTTTGGAGCTAGGCAGACAGCACAGGCCTAAGACCAAAGGACATCACATTCCCAAGAGAGGCTCTCTCCACATACCCTAACCAGGAAGGATGGCACAGGCTATCTCAAGCAGAAGCCCCCATGTGCAGGCAGCTTGACACCACCGTATTGTAGGCATTTGCAGAGTACTTCACCCAGATGCAGCTCACCACCCTGGTGCTGACAGCCATGGAGGGCCTGACTGACAGCAGGGCCAAGGTGTCTCTGGCAGCAGCCCAGCTGATGAGTGCTGTCATGAAAGAGCGGGGCCGAGACATGATAAAGGTAATGTGGTACTGTAGTGGGAGCTCTGCCCTGCACACCAGGAGCCTGGGCTCTCTCCTGGCTCTATTCACAACCAGCTGAAGAGTCTTGGGAAGTCCCTCTCCTATGAAGGCTTTCATTCACTCACTTCTAAAACGTAGGCTTGGGCTAGATTTTCTCTGTGATCCCAATGATCTCTGACACTTGTGTAATCAATCCTAAGCTCAGAACAGCAGTGCCTTCTATGGGGGGAGGGGGCTGGTTCCTCAGTTAACAACCACCACAGGCAGAAGTGTAAGCAGCTGTGGGACCTCATAGCCAAAGCCCAAGGAAGCATTGTAGGGGGGGCTTCAAACTGATTCCCGGGGGGTGTCAAGGGACTTAGATTTCTGTGAAGGGTAAGGCTATGGATTGCAAGCCAGCAACCTCATGAAATGACTGACCTCTGAGTAAATTTTCTTTCAAGATATATGTTATCCACATTTCCCACTTCACTGAAAAATTCTTTTAAATGAGGCCACATAGGGTAATTCTTTGGGGTGGCCACCACCCTTTTTATGTGCGGCATGTGTTCTCCAGACCTTCCTCTCTCTGAATCCCCTGATGCCCATTGCCTTCACTCATTTATGTGACTTGCCTGGTTTAGATACCAGAAATGGAAGGCCTTTTCTGAGGGTGTCCTTGAGGTATTACAACAAAATGGATTTCCCAGAGACCCATATATCAGTAATCTGAGGGCCAGATGAGAGTCCTATGGTACCCTCACATCCAATGCCAACTGTTTCTGCATTTTCTTGGGTTGAAAGTTGATCTCAGTGGGTAGAGGAAGCCCTGAAGTGTCTCCAGGGCTTTTGCCTTCCTTCCTAGAGTCTCTTGTGTCTCTCAAGTAACCTCGGAGTGACTCTCTGAACTTTGGGCTATGGGCAGGCCTTTGTTAGAGTGGGCCTTGGTGAGTTTCAGGGGTTTCTTTTGTGACCTCTGCTGGTCTGGCCTCTGGCACCCTAGAATTCTGCCTTAAGAGAATCACTGGCAGGATTACAAGTAGCCCCTTGAGTCTGGGAGGTTGGCAGATAGGGAAGGGAAGGGAAGGAAGCAAGGGGATAATCACTGGGACTCTTGTGGCTCTTCCCTGTAGATTGAGGAAGTTGTGGAGGGGATTCTGGAACGGCTCAACTCACAACTGGAGCCCAACACAAAGGAGGAGACTGTGCGGGCCATGTGCTTGCTGGCCGGCAACAACACTCACACTGTCGTGCCTATGCTGCTCAACAAGACCCTGCCTTGGGATAGGTACCTCTCCTATGGCCTGGGAACACTTTCTCCAGCCCAGCAAACCCTTCCCTCTCTCAGCCCAAGCCCAACACAAAAATCACTGCACAGGGATGCTTTCTCTTGGACACCAATCAAACTTCACCACTGTGTTCTCTGGTCAAGTTTAGACCCTGAGAACTGGCCCTTCATAGGCACAAGACCAGACTAGTCCTAGGAGCTTAGTCATCAGAGCCCATGACATAGCTGTCCTTGGGTCCTGCAGAACCAATCTGGCCCTGTGGAAAGCATTTGGCAACCAGCGAGAGACCACAATCAGTGTCCTGCAGCTGCTCATTGGCATCCTAGAAAGACTCCACTCCAAAGAGGAAACTAAGGAGATGGCCTTCCAGCCGGTGGCGGTCAGCATGAGCTGGGATGGGGGTGGGTGGGTAGGACTTACTCTCTGGGACTTGAGTGTAGAGTTGAAGGTCAAAGGCTATAGAGTGGGAGCAGGTCTTAGAGAGGAGCAATCACTGATACTGTACATTCGAAGGGTGCCTGGGTGACTCAGTCAGTTGAGCGTCTGGCTCTTGATTTCAGTTCAGGTCCTGGTCTCAGGGTCATGAGGCTGAGCCCCACGTTGGGCTCTGCACTCTGCAGGGAGTCTGCTTGGGATTCTCTCTCTCCCTCCCTCTCAGCCCCTCCTCCTGCTCATGCTCATTCTCTCTCTCTCTCACTCAAATAAATAGATAAATCTTTTTTAAAAATGCTATACTTTTGATTTGCACTTTAACCCTTTTTTTCCACCTGTATACCTAAGAACTACATGATGTAGAGAGAACAGGGGTTGATCCCATTTTATGGACAAGGAAACTGATGTTTAGAGCTAAGCAACTTTCTCTGTCTCCTGATTCTAGGGCTTGCATTCCTTTTTTCCAGGGCCTGGGGTATGGCATGAGGGTTGGAAGCAGAAGAGGTTTGGTTGCTAGGAGTGGACAAAGTAGTCCCCAAATCATTTTCTGCTAAAAAGTTAGAGTTGCTTCCCATTCTGTTTTTGATGTCAGGTGAGTGAAGAGAAAGCAGATTGCATGTGTGCAATCTCATTTCCCTAAGGAAGAGTGGTGGGCTTTCAGTCTTTGCGTGCTTCTTACAAGCCTGAGTCAGAGTGAGCTGTGCCCTTTGGGCAGTAATGGGGAAGGCAGGGTAGGACTCAGTGCATGGCCCATGGGACTATCTTATGTCTTCCCCCACTGTCTCCCAGGTGACATGTGCTTTGTATGAGATGCTGTCAGGGTCCCTGTGCCAGGAAGCTGTCCAGGAGCTCTACCCTCGGCTTTTGCTGGCTATACTGTGTCATCTCTACTGGGTGATTGAGCAAAATGTCCCTCAGAAGATGGTGGTCTACAGCAAGGAGGGGGGCCCAGGTAGCAAGAGCAAGCCCTTTGACCCCACTAGGTAAGCCTAACCCCCTCATGATGTATAGCTGAGACTAGCCAATTCCAGAGGGCCCTGGATGACCCATGTGCTAGAATATTCTCACATATTTTCAAGCTTCTCATTTCTCTTCTTGCATGCATGCTTTGGCTGATTCACGTTTGTAACTGCACATGAAGAGATTCAAGTAGATTGTAGGTGGCAGGGTAAGCCCACATCTATATCAGTCTTTCCATGCAGTTGTGGCCGTTTGAGTCTCATTGACCTCTTGCTTGGCTTTGTCACTAGCTCTTGAACATGTCATGGCTGGGATTCCATTTTATTTTCTTGAAAAGGGATTAGACTCCTGAATGTGTGGTTATCGTACTTTTTTCTTTCTTTTTTTTTTTTAAACCTCAGGACATTTATTTATTTTTTTTATTTTTATTTTTTTTAGGACATTCTATTTAAATGGAATCTTATGGGGACGCCTGGGTGGCTCAGTGGTTGAGTGTCTGCCTTTGACTCAGGGTGTGATCCCGGAGTCCCAGGATCAAGTCCCACATCAGGGCTTCCCGCATGGAGCCTGCTTCTCCCTCTGCCTATGTCTCTGCCTCTCTCTCTCTCTCTGTGTGTGTCTCTCATGAATAAATAATCTTTTCAAACAAACAAACAAATAAATAAATGGAATCTTACATAAAACAAAAACAAAACCAATAAGCAGAGACATTATGATTAGATGGGTGCAGAGGTGAAGAGATATCCTAACCCCATTCTGTGCCCCCAAGAGCATATATGGAAAACTACAGCACTGAGATCCCTCTATCGTCTTTTTCATAGGACTCTGTGGTTGGATGAGGGCCAGGGTTGAAGGATTGGATGGGTAACTGGAAATGGGCTTCACAGATCCATGGATTTTTGTCAGCAGGAAAGCAGAACACAGTTACCAGAGCAGGTAACTGTCTCCTGGCTTCCCAGCACAGGATGCAAATGAGGGCATAATGCATTGTCCATCCTTTTGTCCCTTTCTTTTCACAAACCCAACGGTGGTGACCTTCAGTTGTGCCCTGGAGGTAGTAAAGTTGGTGTTCTCAGCCGCTGCGTATGATGGAGTGGTGGTCTATGGAGATCAGCATTGTTGCTGGGACCTTCTGTCCTGCCCCAGATTTTACTACATAGGGATCATGAACCTGACAAGGTGAGGCTATTTCCCCAGTAACCTTGGCACCACTCTAGTCCCCTTGCCTCAGTTTCCCAAGTCCCAGCCTTCAGCTGTCCCTTCCCCACCTCTCAGCCCCCTGGTCTCCTGATTCCTCAGCCCTTGTGTCTTCCCTGTTTCATGCACACTGGCCCTTGCCACCTCCACCCCAGCAACTCTTGGCTTCCTGTGTTCCACCCCAGTGGCATTGTGAAGACCTGTGAACCTGCCATGCTGCACCGAATCCTCAACCTTGTCAGAAGCCTCCTCTATAGCTCCAGCTATCATTGGAAAATCCTGGCCAGGGCCTTCTATGCACAGGTGAAGCCTGGGGAAAGGTCCACAGCCTGAACCATTCATTTCCTGGGCTGAGGAACATTTAACAGAAATGTTAACTAGCCCCCAAAAGAGGAAAGAATAAGACTAAGCCTTTTAAAGTGGGGTTCCTTTCTCTGGCACTTCAAGTGCCTGGTTAAAGGAGGCAGGAAAGCCTGAGAAGGGGGCCAGTAACTCAACCTCCAGAATGATCCATGGATCCTAGCATCTGATTCAAAATTCAAACCTTATCAGCATTATCCTCTATCCTTCTATTAGGATATCATCTCTCATTACCTTACCTGGTCTCCACTCCAGGTGTACAAATCTGCCACTGTTTTCAACTGCACATACTCCTTACCTGCGTATGTGACCTGAGGGAGGGCAGAGGAGGGTACTGGGTACTCATAAGGTTTTCCCCATCCATAGCTGTAGTCTCCTTATACCCACAGCTCCTCTGGCACCGATCAGTGGCTCAGACCCTGGGGCAAGACTTTTTGGTCAATCTAATCAAGTGGGTCAAAGAGCCCAACCTCATTATGAAGGAAGTTGGGCTTCGCGGAATCAGTAACCTGGCACTGCACCCAGGACAAGTAAGAGTGGGGAGGAGCAAATGGGAATCAAATGTTAGTCCCTGAAGCATTTAATTTACCTTCCTTGGGACTCTTGGTTACCTTGGGTTTAGCATGTTCCCCAACCTCTCATTCTAGGGCAGCACAACATCTAGTTTGTAGACTTATATAGACTGGCCATCAGGCCTTCCAAACCCCATGAGCACCAGCCTTCTACTCCCCGGGCACATCCAGCCCCTGGATTGCACATTTCTGTTTCTTAGCCACCCTCTGTTTTCTCAAAGCCTTGTCCCCAGAGTGTTGCATGATCTCCAGGTGGTGAGTGATATCTGCCTTCTTCCAAACAGGCAGAATCTCTGAAGGGCCAGGTTCCATTCTTGAAAGACTTGCTGAAGAATGAGGCACGAGTGACAGTGCAGGCAGTAAAGAGCCTACGGAACATCATCTGTCATGGGAAGGGAGAGGACATCAAGGTGGTCTTTTGCAGCATCTCCAAGCAACTTTGTCCACTCATCAATGATGTATGGGCCTAACTCCCTAGGATCAGTTGGGAACAGTATGGGCTAAGGCTGAAGAGGAATCTTGGAAACTGAGTGGAGGGTACTGGGGCAGGGCTCTGGGACTGCAGTGGAAGGCTGAAGTCCTGGAGGGGCAGCATAAAGGAGACTTGGCTACTTGAAGCCATGCATAGGATTGTCCCCAGTGCATTCCCTATTACAGACAGACCTAGAACACACTCATCTACCTACTCTCTCACCAGGAGCCACTGAAGGAAAAAAAAAATGGCACGCTGCTATGACAGCAGTGCTCTTCACTACAGAAAAGTGGGGAGAGAACTCACAACTCTACCCTGCTCTCAGACAACATAGGGACCCCAGCCTGCTAGCAACCTTGCCAAAAGGACCCAAAGGCTCAGGAATCTCAACTGCCTAGAGCAATACCAATCCACTCCACTTCTTAGCCTCCCTACAGATCATAGAATTTTAGAGCTGAAAGAGACTTGACAGCAGACATGCATGCTTTCAATGCTCCTGTTCTGGCTTCTATAAGTCTTTAATTTTTGAATCTTGGATTTGAATTAGTTTTGTATTGGCCTCATATTCTGTGAGCCTGGACACACTACAATGGCAGGGTCAATGTCTAACTCATGTATGTTTTTATTTTTTTATAAAGATTTTATTTATTTACTTGAGGGGGGAGGGGCAGAGGGAGAAAAAGAAAGAGAATATTAAGCAGACTCCTCTCTGAGCACCCAGATGGACTCAGGTTCAACTGAGTCCTGATCCCAACCCTGATTGAGATCATGGCCTGAGCCAAAATCAAGAGTCAGATGCTTAACTGACTGAGCCACCCAGGTGCTCCCTAATTCATCTATTTTTACATGTTTTAAAACCATGTATACTTAACAAAGCCTAAAGAAATATCTTTATCCTCCACCCAAACAATATAAGGACCTTAGAATGCTTTAACTCTGGAGCACCTGGGTGGCTCAATCCATTGAGCATCTAACTCTTGGTTTTAGCTCCAGTCATGATTTCAGGGTTGTGGGATCATGCCCTATGTCTGACTCCATGCTCAGTGGGGAGTCGGCTTGAGATTCTCTCTTTCTCTCTCTCTCTGCTCTTCCCCCTACTCCTACGCTCTCTCTCTCAAATAAATAAATAAATAAATAAATAAATAAATAAATAAATAAATAAATCTTAAAAAAAAAAAGAAAATGATTTAACTCTAATGACACCCTCCCATATTATAGGTTAACATTGTCTGGGATTTTAGTTCCACAGTTTCTTAAAATCCCCAGATTTGGTCTTTATGTCATTATTACCAGCATCATCCTTTTTATTGTTTTATACAGTCAATACTTGTTTTGATTTACCCAAATGTGTACAAATGTCTTTACCTTCCTTTCTTCTCACAGCTCACTCCTCCATTTCAGATTCATTTTTTGTTTTTTGTTCTTCCTTTATGGTTTCTTCTACAAGGGTTTGTTAATAGGAAATACTCTCAATCTTTGTCTGGAAATGCCTTTATTTTGTCTCACATATGTCTTTAGCTTTGAGTAGTTTAGGAGGTGTTGGCATGGATTACCTTGGGTTTAGCCTGGTTGGGGTTCACTGAGTTTCTTGAAATCTCTGTGTCTATGTCTTTCACCAAACTTGGAAAGTTTTTAATCATTATTTCTTCCAAGTTTTTTCAGCACTGTACTTTACTCCTTTTCTTTTAGGAATCTGATGATACAAATGTTTAGGCATTTATTGTTGTCCCATAGCTCCCAAGATTTTGTTCATTTTCAATCATTTTTTCTTTTTTCTTTTTTTTTGTTCAGACTGGATACTTTTTGTAGTTATGCCTTCAAGTTCACTGTCTCTTTCCTCTGACATCTGTTTTGCCAACAAATGTACCCAGTATTGTATTTCTCAGTTCTAATGTTTCTTTTTGATATATTGTTTCTTTGATGGAAATTTTTATTTCTGTATTTATTTCAAGAGTATTCATTGTTACTTTTTTGAGCTTTGGGTCTTTACATGCTGAGTAATTTTAGACTGTATCATGACATTATAAATATTAAGTTGTATGACTCTGGGTATCACTTAAATCCTATGGAGAATGTTGATATTATTGTATTAGCAGGCAACTGACCTGTTTAACTTCAGGCTGCAAGTTCTGGCTAGCCTTCTTGTGTGGGCTGTGATTTCACTGTCAGTTTTGAACTCATAGTCTTTGCTATTCTGAGTTTGTGCCATCCAGTGGCCAAGCCTAGGATCTGAACCATTATCTCTTCTGTAGTTCAGTTTTCAAAGTCAATGGTATGTGGAGTGAGCACAGGAGTTCATAAACAACTTTACAGGGTCACTTTCCCTAGCTCCGCCCTCTCTGTGACTTCCTTGGTTTTACAGTTCTTTGTGGCTCCCTTTTACCAGTTGTCTTGGGAAAAAAAAGCTGGTATTTTAGTTACTCTGCAATGTCAGGCACTTCTGTGAACTGTGCCCACAACGGGGCCAAGTGGCATGAGGGCAGAGGAGCTAAGCAGGGAGCCTAATGCTGGGCTCAATCCCAGGACCCTGGGATCATGATCTGAGCCCAAGGCAGATGCTTAACCAACTGAGCCACCCAGGCATCCCTGTGGTTTTAACTTTAATTCTAATCCTGCATGCTCTTTGTCTTTCAGGGATACTCTAGTTTTCTCTGGTGGGGAGATACCATCTACTTCAGACCCATTGGATTTAAAAAATATATATTTCTACTATTTCTTTCAGGGATTTGGGGCAGGAAGGGATAACTGAAGCAATAGTCAATCATTGATCTTGAGCTAATCTGCCTGTGATAATTTTTAGTTAAAAGTACTAATACATTGAATCATGTCTCCATTTGGTTATTATGTTCACTGAGCAAAAAGTAAGAATGTATACATCCAATTTGTTAAATTGTCCGCTTCCCAAATCCTAAAATTTCAGCAACTATCTATGTCTCTGTTATTTGTTATTATGCCTAGCTCATGATAGCTACTCAGTAAACATTTGTTCAATTAATATATAATATACTCTTTTTATGATCATTGTTAATTAGTACAAACTAATATAAATTAAGCAATTTTATTCACAGCATAATGAGGATGTGGATAAAATAACTATATGTATTTTTTAAAATCTGGCATTCCTGAGCTAAATCCTTAGGAGAGAATTAAGTTAGAAGCTGTAGGTATGGTCCAGAGCAGATCTGAAGCTATAGTCTTGATTTCCCTAGCTCTGTGCCTTAATGAAGGGACTTGTTAGCTCTGGGGCTCTAAAGAGAACCACTCAGATACACAAACCATGTTGCCTTTACATTATGAAACACAATGGCGTTAGTGTACTTTGGACATGGAAGTGAGATGTGGGAGTATGGAAGCCAGGCCAGGCAGGGCCAGAGGGAAACCACAGCCGCCTCAGCTCCAATTTGCTCTTCATGGCAGGAGAGGGACCAGGTGAAGATCTCGGCCACCTCTGCCCTGAGCCACATGTTGCGTCACATTGACAAATTCAAGCCTAGGCTTACCACCCGAAGAGAGATCTACACTTTTCTAGTCCCGCTGCTACTTAGCATTCAGGATAACAACACTGAAGTAGTCAAGGTACTGGTGACCTCTGTGCTACCAACCTCAGCCTGATTCATCCATCCCTCTTTGTGCTAGAGCATAGCCTTTCGCTTTTTCATGAGACCAGCCTTGGCTGTACATTTTACATCCACTTCCTCATTGTCATCCTCCAGACTGGCTCTGAGCACTTTTACCTTCTCTCAGATGCCGTTGACTTTATCTTGATATGGTTCTGCTCTTGGAAATTATTTACATCCCATGTCATGAACAGGGTCCCATGTTGCGTCTAATCCCAGCTATGAACCCTCAACCAAGCCCCTTGGAAGGAAGCCAGCTTCGTGGTCTTCCACGAAGACCATTGGAGTGAGCCTTTGGGGATTTCCTTCTCTCCATCCTGTAGGCCTGTGGAAGGGCCCTGACAGAGTGGACTAATGTGATTGGCTGGTCATCACTCACCCAGACATTCCGGCATACCACCCTCAGTGATCACATCCAGGTATTGGAAGAAACGTGCAAGTACCTGGTGAGTGAGAGTCTCTGAGAAGTCAGGCCACAATACTTATGTTAGGGACTCAAAGGCAGGCTAAGAGACTAATGAGAGGAGGGTTGACAGAGGATACGTTCTTTCCAGTCCTTGATTCGCATTCTCAGTTATCAGCAAACTCTGAGAATGCACATTCATGTGTCCCAGTCTCTGCTTTCAGAGGCTAGGAAGGTCATGTGAGCATAGTAGATGGCAATGGGACAGAGATTTTCTGGTTACAGTTGGTAGGAAAAGATGTAGGCAGGAGTCATCAGGGCTTTAGTCAGTAGTCATGGTGTTAAGAGTCTGTGGCCCCTACGAAGTTGAGAACAGGGCAGGATCAGGAATCCTTGCTGAAAAGTAAGTAAGGGCTATACAAGTAGGTTAGAAACCAACAGACATTAGTAATTTTTTTATTATGGATTTTAATGCTTATTGCCTTCCACAGATAGGAGCCTTTTACAGTTTACAGAACACTTCCACATCCATTATTCATTGGAGCCTTACAGTTATATAAAGGAGGTTGAATAGGTTTCATTTCAGCTGTTACAGATGAGAAAACTGAAGCCAGTGTTAGGACCAGGATTCAACCCTGGGTCTCCTGGCTCCACATGAATTATCTCTTCCCCATGTTGGTGTGAAGGAGCAAAATTCTCTTTGTGAACTTCCGGCTAGGTCTACCCTGTTGCTGGGGTGGGGGTGTCTGCAGCTATAGGTTCAAGCATTTTCAGCTGGCTGAAGACAGAACAGTGCTGCTTGTGGACACAGTAAGAGGGTTAGTAGTGTTCCCAAGACCCCTCACCCCAGGTTCTGATCAGCACTACCCCCCTTCTTTGGCTTCACAGGTGAACACAAGCAAAACACAGCTTGTGGGCGATTTACTGTTCCAGAGCTTTGGCTTCCTGAAGAGCTCTCAGTCCTTTCTAAGGGCAGCTGCCATCAACTTCATAGGTAAGATGCTTCTTCTAGCAACCCCCCGCCCTTCTCTTCAGCAGAAGAGCCCTCCTTGACCTTCTGCAAGGGCTAAGCCAGAACCATGGTACCACGAGGCGGGTCACCTCCTTCCCTAGCTCTAACCTGTTTAGAGAGGTTGTCCCGAGACCAGCCTTAAAGTCTGTGTTAGAAAGGCCAGAGGAGGAAGCGAAGGCTATGTGCCTCGGCCCCACTCAGTGTGGGTCCACCCACACTGTCTGCACTCTGCTTTGTGGAAAAGAGAACCATATACATTTGAGAGGGTGAAAGCTATGGATTTTCAAAAATATTTTTGTTTTAAACTAGAATAGTAGCACAGTATATATTGTTAGAAAACCTAAAAAATTCTGATTGGCAAAAAGAGGAAAAGAAATAATGCCAGAAATTCTACCATTTGGCTTTAACCACTGCTAACATTCTAGAATTTTCCCCTGAGAATTTACGACACACACATACACACACACACACACAGTCATTTTAAAAACCATGAAGTTTGGTATACTGTTGTTTTCTCTTGCTGTATCACAAATACATGCCATTATGTGCCTTTCAGCATTGCTTTTAATCCACTTATGGGTAGACTTATGGAACTATTTAACCCTTGCTTTTGAATATTGAGACTGTTATTTTTTTTTTAAAGTAAGCCACTTTATCTTTTGCTTTTATAAGCAGGCATGTAGTGGTTAAATCTCTACATGCCATCATGATTATTTTAAGATAAATTTCTTAATAAGTAGAATTGCTAGGCCCAAAGAGTATGCAAAATTTAAAGGATTTTCGTGTTCAAACTGCCCTCTAAAAAAGTTTGAATCATGGGTCACCTGGGTGGCAGAGTCAGATGAGCATCCAACTCTTGGTTTTGGTTCAGGTCTGATCTCAGGGTTGTGAGATTGAGCTCCACGCTCAGCATGAAGTCTGCTTGTGTTTCTCTCTCCTTCTGCCCCTCTCCCTTGCATGCTCTCTCTTTCTGAAATAAATAAAATAAATCTTAAAAAAAGGTTTGAGAGACACCTGGGTGGCTCAGTGGCTGAGCATCTGCCTTTGGCTCGGGTCATGGTCCCAGGTTCTGGGATGGAGTCCTGTACTGGGTTGCCTGCAGGGAGCCTACTTCTCCCTCTGCCTGTGTCTCTGCCTCTCTCTATGTCGCTCATGAATAAATAAAATCTTAAAAAAAAAGTTTGAATTGTTTTCCATTGTTACTAGTACTACATGCAAGTATCCATTTTGCAGATATTTGCCAACCCTGTGTAATATTTTAAAAATCATTACCAATTTGATAACAAAAAGAGTAGTTTTGTTGTTCTGATTAATATTTTTTTTTATCAGAAGTGAGGTTAAATATTTTTTCCTATGTTTATTGGCAATGCATATTTTAGTTTTGCAAATTAATTGCCTCAAGCCCTTTGTCCATTTTTCTCTTGGTGTGGGAACCCCATGGAGTTTGACACCCTGGGTTCATGCCCTACCTGTCACCTGCCAACAACATTTTTCTGGGTCACAGCTGCTCCAAGGGTTGTTCTTTCACCAGAACACTGACACATAGTCTATAAGGCATCTCATAGAAACACTTACTGCTAGAACTGGTTTACAAGCTTCCTTGTTTGCTACAGAGGGGGTAATGGTGGCCCAAAAGTTCAGGAATTCTAGAGTGACTTTATATCTGTCCTATCTTCAGCATTAACAGTTAAGAAGCTAAACATGAATCAAATACATGAGGATGACGTGGAGCTATTACAGAATGGTGAGTCTGCGCCTTGTACCTGAGTTCTGGGCATGGGGCATGGGGCAAGAGAGAAAGGAGGAGCAGGGAATTCCTTAAGAACATGTTTTGTTATTTCAAATAAAGCATATTTTTACTATTATAAGTGTTATATAAAATATTATATATATATATAATATATATATATAAAAGTAGAAAATAGGGCACCTGCCTTGATCAGTAGGAGGAAGGTGTGACCTTGTGATCTTTGGGTCATGACTTTGGGTGTAGAGATCACTTTAAAAAATAAAATCTTAAAAAAATAAATAAAAGTAGAAAATGGGGAGAAGTAGGAGGAAGATAATGAGTTGTCCATTGTCATGCTGGTTAGAGGAAAAACAGAGCTAACAGAAATGTTCTAGGCAGTCAGCATTTATCATGTGTGGTCAACTGCTAGCACTAAAATGGTGTTCAAGGGAGACACACCCTGTCCCCTGAAGAATTTGGAGTTTTGTCTTCTTTTTTATTGTAGTAAAATATTTTAAAATGAATTTGTATTTACAGAAGAAATACATGAATATATTCTGTTTGCAAAAAAATAGAAATATTACTGATAAGGATAAAGTTTTAGTTTTTATGGTAAAGTTCTATTCACCCCCAAGTCTGGCCTCTCTCCTCACTTCCCCTGTCTATTTGCTATGTAGTCCTGTATTCTTTTGTTGTGTACACATAGAATATATATGTTATATAATATATGATAAATTATTATATATCATAGATATTTAGATATAGATATATACAGTTTCTACAACTTGCTTTTTTCCTCACTTAGTATATTGGTACATACAGATCTGCAGAAAGCTTGTAACACTTGGTAGATTATTATTTAAATCCCTTCCAATTTTTTGCTACCATGATGCTACCATGAACATTCTTATATACATCTCCTTGTATAGAGGTGTAAGTGTTTCTTTAGGCTAGTTACCAGAAAGTAGACTTTTTAGAAAAAAAAAATTAAATTTAAATTTAATTAATGTGTATTGTATTATTATTTTTAGAGGTAGACTTTAGTGATTCATCAGTTGCTCATGACATCACTGTGCCCTCCTTGATGCCCATCACCCAGTTACCCCATCCTCCCACCCACCTTCCCTCCAGGACCCTCAGTTTGTTCCCTAGAGTTAAGAATCTCTTATGATTTGCTTTCCTCTCTGTTTTCCTTTTTATTTTTCCTTCCCTTCCCCTATGTTCATTTGTTTTATTTCTTAAATTCCACAGGTGGTGAAATCATATATTTGTCCAGAAAGTAGACTTTACTCTGCATGTTGAGCTTAACAGGGTTTAACATAAAACAGTATTTTCACCTTCCTTCCAGTGTTGATGTGAATTCCAATCGCCACCCCTCCCACTTTACAGGCTTTTGTTGGCGAATATTTTAGTCTTCTTTTTTTTACCCAGCATTTAGATACTATTATTGTTGCTTTATACAGTATAGATTTATGTGCAGTGTTATGCGCTCTGCATTGCTTTTTGTATCTCTGACCATCCTTCATTTTTCTTCATCCTGAAGTACACTTTCTAGAAGTTTCTTTAGTGCTAGTATCTTAATGTTATGTTCTCTTGGTTTTTGTTTGTCTGTAATGACTTTTTTTACTAGTAGCTTTACTAGTGACACAATTATTATTACTTTTTAAAGATTATATATATATATTTTTAGAGTAATCTGATACCCAACCTAGGACTCAAACTCACAACCCTGAGATCGAGAGTCACATGCTCTCCGAACTGAGCCAGCCAGGGGTTCCTACTAGTGATACAATTCTAGACCAACATTTTCTTTCTTGGCACTTTGGATACCATACTATTGTCTTCTGGTTTTCTTTGTTGCTAAAAAAAAAAAAAAAAAAAAAAAGCCTGCTGTCCTTCTAATTTTTGTTCCTTTGCCAGTAACCTAGCCCTTTTCTCTGGCAGTTTTAAGATTTTTCTTTTCCTTTTTAGCATTCTTTAAAAGCCTAGAAAATAGTATAATAACCCCCTGCCCTCCTACCCTCCAGCAGGGTTACTTTGTTTTCTCTATTTCTCTCCCTGTACCCCTCCCTGCCACATTATTCTGAACGAAACCTCCGACTTTGTATGATTCATTTGTAAATATTTTTTACATGATATTCTTTTTAATATTAAAACATTCAGGGGTGCCTGACTGGCTCAGTCAGTAGAGCATGCCTTCTACAATCTTGGGATTGTGAGTTCGAGCCCCACGTTAGAGGCGAGATTACTTTCAAAAAAATAAAACTTAAAAAAAATTAAATTTTAATTTATTAAGGGGATCCCTGGGTGGCTCAGTGGTTTAGCACCTGCCTTTGGCCCAGGGCGCAATCCTGGAGGCCCAGGATTGAGTCCTGAATCGGGCTTCCGGCATGGAGCCTGCTTCTCCCTCTGCCTGTGTCTCTGCCTCTCTCTCTCTCATAAATAAATAAATATTTTTAAAAAATAAATTTTAATTTATTAAAACATTAAAACATGTCTCAATAATAGATGTGTTTTGAAGTAGAATGCATATTATTCATGAATTTTTAAGATAAAAGAGATTCTAAGGATTTGTAGACTATATGGGACTTGAGGTAACTCATCCAGACTCCTGAAGTTACCCATTTATTTTCTTCTGCCTCTGAAGTTAGGGTTACTTTAGAGAAGCATTTTCTCATCCTGGTCTATAATCCTCTAATTTCGTAGGCTGAGTCATTTGTCCAAGATCACAGAAGCGAATTACTAGGAGATCTAAAGCTAGACTTTCCACTTCAGGGACTTTGCACTAACTCATGCTCACTCCATGGTCCTTTAATTTTATCAAAGTCATGAGAAAGAGGGAATGGGAATCAAGGGTGTGCAAAAGAAGAGCTGATATTGCCAATATATATTAGAAGATAAATTTTACCTCATCCTCAAAACCCTTTGGTCCCTAAACTAGCCAAACAGCCACATCTATGTTTGCTATAGGAGGTACTTCTGCTCTTGCTCTCAAGTAAATGAGTTTCTTAATTATTGAAAACCTCCTGTATAACAGCTATTCTTCTAAGAAGCACTGGGATACTGCAGCAAACAAAACTGATGTGTCTTCCCCACCCCATGCAGCACTCCTCCCAGTGGGGAAGGGGAGGGGCCCTAGCAAGTGCATATATGTGAATAGGCACCATGGAGAAAGTGAGGCAAGGCCAGGGGTCAGAGGATGGAGGGCAGAGGAGAGGCACCTCTCTGAGAAGGGGAACTGGAGCAGAGACCCAGAGGCAGTGAGGGTGTGAACCATCTGACTGAGGGAAGAGCACTTGGCACGTTCAAGGAAGAAGTCAATGTGGTTGGCATGAGGCAAGCAAAAGGAAGAGCAGGAGATGAGTTCAGAGAATCACAGTGGAGCCAGATTCATGCTTGGCTTTTCCACCATGGTGAAGATTTAAGATGTTGCTGTGGGTGGTAGGGGTACTTCATGAAACACAGTTCATAACTCCTCTAAGGGGGAGGTGGGCTTGCAATAGGTGGTGCATGTGTGATTCATTCCAGTGCCGAATAGAAATGACATTTGAATGATTTGTTTTTCACTATCTTCCATGCCACAGTTTGCTTCCTTTGATACAGAGACCAAATGGAAAGAATGTTGGTTTTTGTAGTCCTGCCCTGGATGCCGGTCCTTTTGTGTATAAGAGTGGCTACGTGGGCAGCCTGGGTGGCTCAGCAGTTTAGTGCCGACTTCAGCCCAGGGCCTGATCCTAGAGACCTGGGATCGAGTCCTGCGTCGGGCTCCCTGCATGGAACCTGCTTCTCCTTCTTCCTGTGTCTCTGCCTTTCTTTCTCTGTGTTTCTCTCATGAATAAATAAATAAAATCTTAAAGATAAAGAAGAGTGGCCATGTATGTCAGAAAGACCTGGCATGAGGGCCATAGCTTTGCTTTTAAAGTTCTGGACCTTCACATGTTTGTCCTCAGGGACTTGCCTTCTGGTTGGAGCCCCCTTCCTTTCCTGGCACCTGCTACAAGCTAATATGCTGGATATGCTGCCTTTGAAGGAATGGTAGCTTCATATTTCAGAGGAAATGCCCAGCAGACAACTAGAGATAGACATAAATCCTTTATGATTTATTACAGCTTTTTGTCTTGAGAAGAAAAAGTGGTGAAGTAAATGACTTTTAAGGGTCCTTTCTTCCAAGTCAGTGTGTAATGAACATGGTCTCCAGTGTCAGCTGGCCAGGTCTGCAATACTAGCTGTCTCCATAATGAGCCCTGTGAACTTGGGCAAGTCACTGCTGCTGGGCTTCAGTTTCTTCATCTGTATCATGAGGATATTGTTTAAGTATCTGATACAAATGCATGTAAAGTGGGGTGCTCTGCTTGCCACAGAGGTGTCCCACAGAAGCTTTGCATTGAGTTGATGCAGGCTTCTGAGTGAAGATGGGGCAAGGTGCCCAAAGTGACAGGTAGGGAATGTGCTTAGTGCTCTGGTCAAGGAAGAATGAATTTGTTAGCTGCTGTGGAGAGTAGCCGGGCTCTCTCCGGCTCTCCAGTGACTAGCTGGCAGCATCTGTCCTCTTAGGGTTCTAACCCTGGCTTCTGACCTTGACATTTTGTGCCTCTGTTGTCTTCTTGTTTTTTACAACTGAAATCTCTACTGGGTAGTAGACCCCTCCTCCTGGCGACTGGAGTATTTTAGGGAAAGTATTCTAGAATGAAATAGACTCCTCAGTATACCAGAGAATTCACCTTGCCTTCCTCATCCCATCCAGCCTCCAAGAAAGATTGCCTAGGATTGCCTAGACAGGAGGAACTTTTTCTCAAAGAAAGTCATTCCAGTTACATTTTAAACCCATATCCAGTGCCCTACGAGCCTTGTGGTCAAGAAACGGTTCTTCTCTGGATTTACACGTGTTGTGTAGCTGATGCTCATGTCTTTGTTCTGTTCCAAGCAAGTATAAATGAGATCAACACGAAGCTGTAGACTTTGGTGGGCTTGAAGGCCCTTTTGAGGCAAGATTCTTCCTGTTTATCTTTTAGATGCTAAGCAATTTTCTGTCTCCATCCTTCTGTTCCCACCTGAATCTAAGCCCCAGCTGGATGGTTTTAACAACCCCCTCACCTGCTGTTTCTCTACACCTCTCTACACAGAGGCCAGATTCTCTTTGAAATGTGTACACTGAATCATGTCACCCCTGGCTTAAAACCCTTCACTAGCTTTCTGCGGTTCCCTTACCCTTGGGACAAAGGGACACAGGCCCTGAGTTGGCTTCAGACTATTTCTTTACCCTAAGCTTAGAGTACCTCACCCCTCACTAGAAGCTGTAGTCACACTGGTTACTTTCTACACTGTGAAGAGGTACCCTCTCCCTGACCTTTGGGAATGCTTCTGCCCCTGTTATGTGGCTTCCTACATGTTAGCTCACATGTCACCTTCTCTGACAGGCATTCTCTGACTGGCCTATCTAGAGATCCTTTCCGGTTACTCACCACCATAATCTGCTAAATTTCCTTCTTTGTACTTTATTTATGTTTACTTGTTTGCTTTGTCTTTTCTCTCCTAGAATGTTAAGTTCTTGAGGGTGGGGAGTATATCTTGTTCACCACTGCATCCCAGCACCTAGCATAGTGGCTGGGGACAGTTAGTGCCTGATAATCACTGTTGAATGAATTAATGATTATTTATAACAGTGAAAAATCGCAAACAACCTAATTATTCACTAATAAAGAGCTCATCAAAGACATTATGATAGAGTCACGTGATTAGATATTATATTGCACAGAGGAAAATTTTATGGGAAGAAAAAACTGAATCTTATTTTTGTAAAAAAAAAAAAAAGTGTCCATATTCAGTATTAAAAAAATACTGCAGGTGAGCCTGGCTGGCTCAGTCAGTAGAGCATGAGACTCTTGATCTCGGGGTTGTGAGTCTGAGCCCCACATTGGGCATAGAGATTACTTAAAAATGTATATACTGGTATGAAATTTCGATTGGTATGAAAATATTAATAGTATTATTTCAGGTGGATAAGTTATTTTTCTTTGTTTCCTGTTAAAAGAATGATTTCTATGTAAACATTTTTCTAGAGTAAAACAAGTATTACTTTTATAGTGACAACGATTATTCTAAATGAAGTTATATAATAATAATCTGGTATGTGAGGTAGAGAATAATGGGGTTTGGGTAGATGGTCCTTGGAGATCAAGAGTCTGAGTTGACCTCCTTTCTGGTTTCAGCTATTGGAAATCTGAGGAATGATCCTGTGGAGTCTATCCAGTCTTTGGTCAATACTACTCTGAAAAAAATTGATGAATATATTAACTTCAGGTCTATCTCTACTTCCAGGATGAGCCAGATAAGCAATAACATCCTCAAAGTCACTGGCATAAAAAACCCAGAAAGAAAGAAACGACTGTTTAGGAGTGTCAAACGAGAAACAGATGATGATGATAATCAGAAAATCTGGAGCTGGCTTCAAAGCCCTCTAAATTCATTGCGCAACCGGTACAGTGGTAGGGTGAAAGATATTCCACACAAATTAGGCAATTCAGATAAGTAGTCAACAGGGTCACAGGTCCCGACATCTGAAAGTCCACCTACAGAAGCTGGGCCTGCTGCCAAATAAGTTGCTTCTAATTACTCTGGAACTAAAGCCTTTTCCATTTGTTTTTCCAGATGTCAGTACTTTGTCCCAGTAGCTCTCCTACCTTAGTCCAACCAGATGGGCTACTTTGGATTAAACTCAAGGAGGTGGTTTTGATCTTATCAGACTCAGTATGTTTCTTGTCCTTTCTCTCCCTACAGGATTATTGGCTATCAGCATATTCATTGTCAATAAAGCTTATTTTCTCATTCCAAGACAAGATGACTTTCATCTTAGCTTTTGGGGATTGGGAATAAACCTGAGTGACAGGGCCAGCTCTGAAGTATCTCCTTCAGGTAAAGTTTCAAATGATAAGAGGGAGGGTAGCAGAACAGCATGGCACCTAGTTTCCAACCTTTTTTTTCTCTCACTTCCACACACGTTGGATGAAATTCTCAGGCCTGATACACTACATGGCACATTCAGATTTCAGGCTGGAGCAGAAGAAGGTGGGTGTAAACAATGGGTGGCAAGAACTCCAGCCCAATCTCTCTCACTTAAAGTGCATTGGATTGTGATGGAGTGACATTCTTGTTGGGATAACTTTGAGTCCATTCTAATTTTTAAAAAAGATTTATTTATATATTTAATAGAGAAAGTGACAGAGTGCAGGAGGAGAGGCAGAAGAGAAGGAGAGAGAATCCTGAAGCAGACTCCCCTTGCAGAGCCAGACTCAGGGTTCCATCCCATGACCCAACATGACCTGACATCATGACCCAAGCTGAAATCAAGAGTCAGATGCTCAATTAACAGAGCCACTCAGGCACCCTGAGGGCAATAATTTTTTTTTTCAAAGGCCTTGACATTTAGGTTATTGGAACTCAGTTCTGAGAAGTTTGAAAGATGTAGAAAGAGGGGCACCTGAGTGGCTCAGCCTATTAAGCATACCCAACACTTGATCTTAGCCCAGGTCTTAGATCTCAAAGTCATGAGTTCAGGCCCTACTTAAAAACAAAAAACATTAGGTCAAAACAAAAAATTTGGAAAAACCAAAGAACTAGTTCCCACTTTGGTCAAATTGATTAATTTGACCTCGTTGAAGTTAACCACGATCAGAATGGTTTTGACTATTCCTAATTTTTTGACCTTTGAGATAAAATCCTTCTAAAACGGTTTTCCTCATATTTAAAAATGAGAATATTTAAACTTATTTTACAGGCTTTATGGAGTGAAGTGAGATAGCCATGTACTTGGTATAGAAATAATTGTTTAATAAATGGCTGTCATTATTACCAGGGTATGATGGTTACTTTTACACGTCAATGTAGTTGGACCATAGTACCCACATATTTGGTTAAACATTACTCTGGATGTTCCTATGAAGATTTTTTTTTTTAAGATTTTATTTACTTATTCATGAGATACAGAGAGAGAGAGGCAGAGACATAGGCAGAGGGAGAAGCAGGCTCCACACAGGGAGCCCCATGTGGGACTCGATCCCAGGAATCCAGGATCACGCCCTGGGCAGAAGGCAGCCGCTTAACCGCTGAGCCACCCAGGCATCCCTCATTGCAGTTTTCATTTGCATTTTCCTAGTGATAGTGATGTTGAACATCTTTCCATGTGCTTGTTGGCCCTTTGGGCCATATGAATATCTTTGTTCGAAGAAATGTCTTCAGATGCTTTGCTCATTTTTTAATTGGGCTGTTTTTGTGGTTACTGTTGTTGGGTTGTAGGAGATCTTTACATATTCTAAATGTTATCCCTTTATCAGATATAGGATTTGCCAGTATTTTCTCCCATTCTATAGGTGGCTTTTTTTACTCTGTTGATTGTGTCTTTTGATATACAGAAGTTTTAAAGTTTATTGTTGTCCAATTTATCCATCTTTACTTTTGCTGCCTGTGGTTTTGGAATCCTATCCAAGAAATCATTGCCAAAACCAAATCCCCAAAACTATTCTTCTAATAGTTTTATGCTTTTAGTTTTTACATTTAAATCCATTTTAGGGGGGGATCCCTGGGTGGCGCAGCGGTTTGGCGCCTGCCTTTGGCCCAGGGCGCGATCCTGGAGACCCGGGATCGAATCCTATATCGGGCTCCCGGTGCATGGAGCCTGCTTCTCCCTCTGCCTGTGTCTCTGCCTCTCTCTCTCTCTCTCTCTCTCTCTCTCTCTCTCTCTCTCTCAGACTATCATAAATAAATTTAAAAAAATTAAAAATTAAATCCATTTTAGGTTAATTTTTTTTTTCTAAGTAGGCTCCACATGCATCATGGAGCCCAACATGGGGCTTAAACTCATGACTCTGAGATCAAGACCTGAGCTGAGATCAAGAGTTGGTCACTCAACTGACTGAACCACCCAGGTGCCCCAGGTTAATTTTTATATATGGAGTAAGGTAAGGGTCCAACTTCATTTTTTGCATTTCACTGCCTCCCCTCTCCTCCTTTTAAACTGCTCACACCGGGGATCCCTGGGTGGCGCAGCAGTTTGGCACCTGCCTTTGGCCCAGCGTGCAATCCTGGAGACCTGGGATCGAATCCCACATCGGGCTCCCGGTGCATGGAGCCTGCTTCTCCCTCTACCTATGTTTCTGCCTCTCTCTCTCTGTGTGTGTGACTATCATAAATAAATAAAAATTAAAAAAAATAAACTGCTCACACCTTCAGAAAGTTTATCACTTACAGTGGCTTTAGTTCTTTTACCAAGAGATGATCAAATCCATATACCCAGCTTCTACCTCTTTCCTGAATGCTAAGTCCTCCATTTTCAAACACCACTGAATACCTCATGGAAACACTGGGGGTGGGGAGCATACTATAAATTCAGTCTAACAAATGAGATGGACCTATTTTTTTTTAAGATTTTATTTATTTGATAGAGAAAGAGAGCATGAGTGAGGAGAGGAGCAGAAGGAGAGGGAGAAGGAGACTCCCTGCTGAGCAGGGAGCCCACACAGGGCTCCATCCCAGGACCTTGAGATCATGCCCTAAACCAAAGGCAGACGCTTAACCCACTGAGCCACCAGGCAGCCCTGAGATTGACCTATTGTATGAGAAAACAGAATGTATCCCATGCCCACTAAAGTGTGGCTTAATGAGGAAAAGTTATATATTGAGATACACACTGGACATAGTTATCAAAGATACTGGGGCTCAGAGAAATATTACTAGTTTGCATCTTGCACCATTCCAGGGCTCTAGAGGCAAATGGAGTCTTGGGGATGGAGGCAATCTGCCTTCTGGAGATTCTTTCTCTCTTTCAGAGAAAGAGGCTATCTTTTTTATTTTTTTGAATTCCACAGATTTAATGGTCAACCAAAGAAGCCAGACACAAATGTGTACATGTGGTATGCTTCCTTTTTTATGATGGTCAAGAAAAGGTGACACTAAACTGTGGCAGTAGAAGTCAGATATTATTATTTGACCTGGGAGAGAGCACAAGAGAATCTTCTGGAGTGGTGGTAATAATTTCTATTATGATAGCTTCCCCTATATATACATATGTAAAAATCACTGAACTATAAATTAGAGATTTGTGCTCTTTAGTCTGTATTATGAGGCTATCTTTTTTAAAATAGCCTCCACACCTAGCCTGGAGTCCAAACAGGGCTTGAACTCACAACCTTGAGATCAAGACCTGAGCTAATCAAGAATTAAACACTTAACAGACTGAGCCACCCAGGTGCCCCTGGGGGTTCTCTCTTAAATGATAGGTACATATCATGGAGCTTTCCCAGTGCCTAGGTGATACATTTCACTCAAATGCTTATGTTTTCCTTGTTCTGATTCTATGCTTACCAAGTAATCCTCCAATTCACATTGGCTTTCCAAATAGCAAGAGATAAATTATTCTATTCACTGGAAATGGCTCCTTTATAAATGAATTGATTGGCAGGGCTGTAAATTTAGTGATCATGCATTTGTAGTCTGGTATTGAGTTTACTAAGGTAATTCAGCTTCTGTACTGATGCTCAGTTGGTATTTATTGAATGGATGAATGTCATGGCCAGTCTATACCCTGGAAAAATGATGGTTTTGAGAGGCCCTAGTCCTGCTTATTGCATGTAACAAAGTGTACCCAGTCAAACCATATAACTTCAAATATCTCAAGGATAGATTATTCCTATCTCCCTTCAAAATGCATTATACTTCCTGACCTTATTTCTGTTCTTCTGATTGCTAAAGGCCTAAATCTCAAAATCTGATTCCCAGGTAGGACCCAGCTTTATTTATTATTATATTTTATTTATTGTTCAATTTATATCACAGCTATTTCTAAAGGCTATCTAAGGAAACTTATAATAAAAGTATAGTAATGCTAAAACCAGGGACGCCTGCATGGCTCAGCAGTTAAGTTCCTGCCTTCGGCCCAGGGTGTGATCCTGGAGTCCCAGAATCGAGTCCAACATCGGGCTCCCTGCATGGAGCCTGCTTCTGTCTTTACTTGTGTCTCTGCCTCTCTCTCTCTCTGTGTCTCTCATGAATAAATAAAGTCTTAAAAAAAAAAAAAAGGAATGCTAAAACCAAACTATATAATAAAAGCATAAGAATGCTAAAACCAAACTCAATTAATAATAGTACTTGCTAACCTTTGTTGAGCTTTTATAATGTGGCATGCCAGGAGCTAA